GGCTCTGTACCGTCGAAATCGAGGCTTCAGTGGTTTGATCAATCAATGTTTTGGATTGATTCAACTATAAACAAGATCAAGGATACTACATTGGGTCAATTATGAATCCAATTTGAGGTGGTCACCCGGGAATTGAGAACAGTGCAGTTCAAGATACCCGATTAGGGTTTTCGATTAGGAAAAGTCAACTGTAGCTTGACTTTTGATTTAAAAAGTGTTTTAATGGTGGGATCAAGGTCCATTAAGCTCCTATGGCTTAGAAAATTCTATCCAAAGAGTTTCAAGTCCTCAGAATATCCGGATCATCGACAGTCGACTCGATAGTCACCGATTGATCGAATGGTTGACCAAAAAGTCAACTCTTCAACAACAAGGAATCTGACTTCAAGATGTGATTCAAAAATTTTCCTTATGTCATATTACACCTTCCCATAAAATTTCATGACCATTGGATCAAGGGTTAAGAAGTAATTGCAAAAATCGGGAATTAGGGTTTCAAAAGGGGCAAGACCATAACTCCTCAACCACACATCCAAATGAAGTGGTTCAAAGCTCATTGGAAAGCTCTTGGCAAGTCCTACAAAATCCTCAAAGTGGTCCATGACCAAAAAATGCATAGATTTGGAGTTATGACAAAATTCATTTCAAGAAGGGAAATAACTTAGGAAAATTCTAAGTTATTTGGCTTTTTTAAGTGATTTTTTTCAGCAAATTGGAAGGGTTTTTCAACCTAGTTCCATCTAGAATTTGGAAACCTCAAAAACATGAAATTTATAAAGCTACTTGAGGGCTTTCTAAATTGTGGTAGAACTCCTCAATAGCATGTGTGAGCAGAAAGTTATGGATCATGAAAGTTAGGGCTGCCACACTTGAGATTACCAATCCAACACTTCTCAAAATTCAAATTTCCATAACTTGAGCTATCCTTGACCCTTGGATTATGATTCAATCTGATAATTAGAGGTGTTGATGAGTGAAAATGCAGAAAAATGAGAGATTTGAAGAGAGAGGCAAGTTGCAAGCAACTTGTAATAAAATAATCAAATGTGTAAGAGGAAAGAGAAACTTTTCTCCTAAGAAAACTGTAGCAGCTGCAAGACTCGTCACTCTAAGCTCTATGCAGTCACTTCATGCATCATTCCACTTGATTTTCTGACCTTCCTTGAGCCATGGAACTGATATGTAGAGATCTTGGCAAGATTCATTTCAAAAACTTCATAATCTCCCTCCAAATGTGGAAAATCCAAATCTGTCCTCACCATTGCTCTCCCTATAAATAGAGGCACTCTCTATGATGTTAGACACACCAGAGCACTCTTAGAAACCAAGAGAAACAACAGCTCTCAACTCTCCACCATTTTCTCAAAAGCTTCCTTTTTCAAAAACTTCAAGTTTCCACTAAAAAACTGTCTTGAGCAAAACTCTGCTCAAACTCAGTTCCACCACTTCCAAGCCACTCAAAACCATTTACACAATCCATAAACATTGTGTAGAAGGTGTTCGTACACTCAAACCTCCCAAAAACATCATTTTCCTAAAAGTCAACCTTCACACCTTAATATGTTGACTTTCTTGCACTTTGGAAGCCAAATCTTTACTTGAAGCATTTCCTACCATTCTAACACTCCCAACACTTCATATATATCATATCTCAACTGTCCAAACTCTTAAAAACCAGCTGGGAGGTTCACAACTCCAACTGTCTTGAAATATAGCTTGTTACTTCAAGAGGAAGAAAGCTCTAAATCCTTGCCAAAGAAGAAGATCTCCGGGTTTCTTAGCTTTTTATCTTGCTCAAGACTTGTCTACAAGAGGTATGTGGTGCTCAACCTCTTTATTATTCATTCATTGTCATGTTTTACCATTTTGAGATGCTTGTTGTGAAATATAACCATTGTTGTCCCATTTTTGTTCTTGATCAAGAATTTATGTCACTACAAGAAAATTTGTCAATACCCAGGGCCAAAAACCCTCGGTAACAAGAAAAAGCCGTGGGAAAAGTAAATTACCGAGGGCTTACCAACGACTATGGGGCCCTCGGTATTTCGCTCCTTGGTAACGTCTACCGACGGCTATATAAACCCATGATATTATCCACGGCAAAACCGTGAATAGTTTGCGGGTAATAGGTGATCAAATATCAAATTTTTTGTCTTATATTATCCACGGTTAAACCGTCAGTAAACTTACCGAGGGCTAAGCCGTCTGTAAATTTACCGAGGGCTAAGCCTTCGATAAGTTACTCAATTTTTGGTATAACTTTACTGACGGTTAAGCCATCTGTAGTATTATAATTTTTTTAATCAAAAATACCAATATTTGATCAATAGACTTATTTGGTTAATATTTTCCCTATTTGAAGACAATATGAATATTTTTTCGTAACATCTTATAAATATTTTTTCATAACAACTTATTAATAAATAAAAACTCTTTTATGAATATTTTTTTATATTATAAATCTACAAAACTCTTTTTTTTATCATGACCATAATTATATATAACAATTCAACAAACAAATCTCAAACAAAAATTCAAACCTTAATATCAATGAGATCTCAAAAAATATTCCATTCAACAAGTTTGATGTAAACAAGCTTAAACAAAACATAAAACATGTTCAATCAAAATATAATGTGATTGTCAAAGTATTCTCATGAGTAAAAGTAAAGCATAATATGATCTTAAATGCTTCCAATAGAGTCATCATCACTGTCGGAGTCATCATCATAGTCTGAATGATGACGACGACGTTTGTCACCTTTGATAGAAGCAACACTTTCAGCTAATTCCCTCAATTGTCTTTCCAAATCTTGTGTGCGTTTATTTGCCTTGCGACATTCCTCTCGTGCAACTCGAGCATCTTCCTCTGCAACATTTGCTCTCTCTCTTCAATTGTTGCCATTTGTGCAGCAATCTCAGCAGAACCTTGACCGCTGCATGTAGATACACGTGACTGTTGGGTTAACGAGGAAACACCTGGCTTGTAATGCTTAGACAAGTCACCAGCACCATAGAGACGCCCTCTAGTCTTTCCACCGGCAGCTTCAGCCCAAAAATTTAGCCGAGTTGCAGAATCAATTTCCTTAGGGCCACTATTTGATGTCTCTCCTACTTGAGAGGCGTGTTTTAGCTTCTCTTGAAATGTTTCCTGATAAAAAAAATACTTAAAATTATATACATTACAATATTTTCATGATACGAACTAACAGAACAATAATCATTTAATTGTTTGTTGAAAGTAGCAAAAACAGGAATTTCGACCAAAATCTATGTTAATTTCTTTAAAATTGACATCTTTATTACATTAATTTGTAATTTGTGATTCTCCTAAGGTTAACCATGGCTGTTTGTTTTAAGTAAGAACTAAAATTTTGTTTGTTTTTAGCATGACATGGGATAAGATAATTTTCTAATAATTTGTTTATTGTGACATGGGATAAGAATCCACTTCTTAAAAACAGGTATTGAATTGTGAGAAAAACTGGTATTAAATAAAGTAATCTTTTAATCATTTCCCCACTTACTCTTATTAATCCTACCATATATATGATCATGATCCATAATATATGTAATTAATAATTTTTTTTAACAAGAGGGTCTAAGTTCAAAAGAAAATATTAACACAACATATCTATGTAACTTGTCCTTTTCAAATAAATGGCATTAAATATTTTATCCAAGCATACATCAAAATTTAGTAATTACACTTACATATGTCTTCTTTGATGTGTCATCCACCCATGAGGAGTCCTTCTTTTTTGTATGAGTCCTTAAGAAGACTTCATCTAATGTGGGCTCTCTACCTAATTCTCGACGCTTATGCATTATAAAAAATTGATGTCAAATGTTAGGAAAAAATAAATTATGAGCTAAAGTTTAAGGAATCAAGTGTTTAAAATGAATGACATACCATTCGTATGATGTGCTCATTTGTGGATATGGAGCCACCCGTATGGACAGATCCACCCTTAGTAGATGCCCGATTTTTCTTATTCCTGGCAGCTTTGACCTTATACTCTGGTGTTTCCCATTTAATTTTGAGCCCTTTCCAAGCACCCTCTCTCATCCAAGATGGACCGTTCTTGTTTCTTCCTTGCATCCATCAGAATCTCTGAGAGGCGCTTTGAGCCTTTGCTCTTAAAGATACTCTTGAGTTCAAACTCATCCTCAGGCCGCCAAGCAACTATTTTCTGCAACATTTTAATAATAGACAAATTAAGAAGCAACGGATTAGAAGACCAGGTCCAAACCTCAAAACCAGAAGAAAAAAAAGCATAGCCCAAACAATAATCACATTCTAATTATAAAAGTTTTTTTGTTCTTTAAATTATTGATACTTAATTTGTCTGTATCCGCAATTGAACTAACAATCTATTATCAAATAGGCCATTGCATAATAGGTTTTGTTCTATTTATATTTGTTTGATTTTTATTATTATTATTGTAGTTTAGTACATCTTGTGTCAATCCTCTATGCATTTATATATTAGGCTCTTTACCCTTTATTATTAATATATATTGTTTAATCTTGAATTGCAAAACAAGTTGCTCTAGCTATTTTCTTCAACTCACTTTTGGAAGGTGTTGAAGATATGGATAATATGGTGTTAGTAACTTCATCATCGATATTATTATCTTCCCTATAATCATTATCTGCACTAGCATTAATTTGCATGCTAGAAATTAATGTAACATCAACTTCTTCATCACTATGTGTTTCATCGTGCAATATTCTTTCAAGTTTGCTAATTTATGTACTTCTAGTTTGTTTATAATTTGTTTAGTTAGGATAGCTAACTTAACTATAAAGTAATAAGATTAAAAAAGTACTTTCATTAGTAAACAGACCAATTTCATTTGTAAACTAGTTATTATAGTTTCACACAAACAAGATTACAAGATTAACACATAATAACTAAATATGTTAGTCATTTTTGTAGAGAGTTATTAATTTATGTACTTTAATCTACTTTATTAATTTGCTTGTTTTATATGGTTTAATCTTGAATTGCAAAACAAGTTGCTCTAGCTATTTTCTTCAACTCACTTTTGGAAGGTGTTGAAGATATGGATAATATGGTGTTAGTAACTTCATCATCGATATTATTATCTTCCCTATAATCATTATCTGCACTAGCATTAATTTGCATGCTAGAAATTAATGTAACATCAACTTCTTCATCACTATGTGTTTCATCGTGCAAGCCGGTTATGTCTTCAATTTCAGTTATCTGTTCAACGTGAGCCATCTCTTCATCTTGATAGGGTGTATCATCATCAATGTCAACAACCTCTATACGACCTCTGGGCTTTGTCTTTATCACTGCACATCAACCACGTTTGTCTACACGCATTTCTGGGTAAGGTACATAATACACTTGTTTGGCCTTTTTGTGCAATTATGAATGGATCATAACGATCATATTTTTTGTTCATCTTGATATCTACAATATCATAATGAGGATGAACTTTTGTTCCTCTGCCTCGTTTTGGATCAAACCATTGACAGTAAAACAAGGCTACTTTGTGAGATAATTCATGATACTCCAACTCAAAGATATGTTTAATGACTCCATAGAAATCATCTTCCCCACCTTCTGTAATCCCCTTCACATAAACCCCACTATTTATGGTCTTTTTACCTTGACTCCATGCTTGTGTGTGGAATTTGTACCCATTAATGAAGTATTTGTGCCAACTCATGGCATTTGATTCAGGACCCCAAGCTAATGATATTAGTTTTTTGTCTGTCACACCATTTCCCTCATTAGTGGCCTACACAAACATGAAATTCACAATAAAGATAAAGTGATTAATTTTTTTACAAGTTTGAATGATAACACTTACATACTCTCAAAACCATTCTGGGAATTCTCCATGTATAAGAGTTGAAGCTGAAGGATCCTCTTCATTGATGGACTTATTTTGCAAGAAAATACTGGTAATAAAGAGAGAATTGTTGTGATGTATGTATTGTAAATGTTTATTTTGTGTCTATCTTTGTTTCGTTACTTACTTAATATATGGCTTAACCTGATTGCAATTAATGAGAATGTGTACATGAGCAGATCTCCATTCAGCATCAGTCAACCAATGTATTTGGGATTTTCCACTAGGACGTCCAAGAGGGTTGCTTATTGAGAATGTTGGCACTACATCATTGTTCAGTCCTAACGCTTCATTACGTTTGCTTGTGGCAGATAAGGTGGCCGTTTTGAAATAGTGGGAACAAAAATATGTTGTCTCTCGGTGTAAATACGACATACATATTGAGCCTTCCACTCTAGCCTTATTCTTCACTGACCACTTAAAATCTCCCATCATTCTTAAAAAAATGAGTGTTAGATCTTCTACGAAATGTGAAAGATTTAAAATGAATAAATTAATAATTAGGAATGTATGCAAAATACCTTTCAAATGGATACATCCATCGATATTGTACAGGACCACCAAGTTGTGCCTCATAGGGAAGGTGAATTGGAAGATGCTCCATAGAATCAAAGAATCCTGGTGGAAATATTCTTTCAAGTTTGCATATGATGACTGGAATGTTATCACCTAATTTAATCAATTCATCTTTTCTTAAGGTATTGCTGCATAATCCCTTAAAGAATTGACTTAACTCTGTAAGTGGTTTCCATACAAGATCAGGCAATGAACTAAATGCAAATGGAAGTAAACACTCCACAAACACATGACAATCATGACTTTTCATTCCGTGCACTTTCCATTTATTGACATCCACACATCTAGCCAAATTTGAAGCATATCCATCTGGCATCTTAAGCTCCTTTATCCATTTACAAACTTTTTTTGCCTCATCAGAAGAAAGACAGTAATTTGCCTTAGGTTTTGTCATCTTTCCATTATCGTGTTTAATCAACTCTAAGTCACTACGTTGACAAATGATGGCCAAGTCCATTCTAGCTTTTTCATTGTCCTTTGTCTTGTTCTTAATATTCATGACTGTATTAAACACATTATCGAAGAAATTTTTCTCAATGTGCATCACGTCTAGATTGTGCCTTAATAAATTGTCTTTCCAATATGGAAGATCCCAAAATATGCTTCGTTTATACCAATTATGGCTTTCTCCATATCCTTTTAATTTAGAAACTCGATTGTCTACAAGTTCCCAAAGATCACGAACCCAACAATATATTTCTTCTCCTATCAATATAGAAGGTGGCTCTTCCTTCACAACTTTATTTTTTGTGAACCTTTTCTTACTTCTTCGAAAGGCATGATTACGTGGTAAGAACCTACGGTGACAATCAAATCACGAATTTTTTCCACCATATTCCAGTGTAAAATCCTTATTTCCATCCATACACACTGGACATGCCAACTTGCCTTGAGTACTCCACTCTGATAACATACCGTAAGCTGGAAAGTCATTAATTGTCCATATTAATGATGCCTTCATTACAAAGTTTTGTTGAGTGGAGATATCATAAGTCAAAACCCCTTGATTCCACAAGTTCTGAAGCTCGTCTATTAATGGTTGTAAGTACACATCAATGTGAGCTTTTGGATTATGTGGTCCTGGTATGAGGCATGTTAAAAACATAAATGGTTTAGTCATGCACAATTCAGGGGGGAGATTATACGGTGTCACAATCACAGGCCAACAAGAATATGGGGATGAAGATGCTTGAATGTATGGTGTAAAACCATCAGAACATAAACCTAGCCTCACATTTCTTGGTTCATTCGCAAAGTCCGGATGCATCTCATCAAAATTCTTCCAAGATTTACCATCAGATGGATGACGTAAAACACATGAACTTGAATTATTATGATGATGCCATCTCATATCTTTTGCAGTTTCTATTGAGGCATACAATCTTTTTAACCTTGGAGTGATTGGCAAGTAGTGCATTCTCTTAACCGGAACGTCATTGTAATTACCCATCCCAGGCTTACGAGGAGCATATCGTGGTTCATGGCAAAACCTACACTCTCGATCTGCAATCGTATCTTTGTAGTACAACATGCACCCATTCACACAACAATCAATTTTCTGAGACTTCAAACCAAGCATGGACACCAACTTTTTTACTTGGTAGAAATTTTTTGGCAATGAATCCTTTGAAGGGCACACTTCTAGAAGCATGTTTGCAAAGAAATCAATACATTTTTGAGGTACATTCCAATTTGTTTTGCAAGCCATAAGCTTCACACATACTGAAAGTTTCGATTCAGAAGCACCCTCATATAATGATTGGTTTGCAGAAGTTAGCATATCATAAAATTCTTGAGCTTCCTTATTTGGTGGCTCTTCATGATTTTCTTCCATATTAACCTGTTCTCTATCAACCTCATATTCATCGACATTATCTTCATTAATCCCCCTTTCCTCACCAACCTCGTTCTCATTTCCCACATCCTCATTAACATTATATTCGTTATCGACATCCTTATCACCTTTGTTGCCCATACTTCGAAAATCATAATCAGGCCCTATTGCATCCTTGACCATATGTTGCATTAATTCAAAATGGTCTTCATTATCCACATCTCTACTACTAATTGGTACATTTGCTGAGTCAATACGTGGGGCTTTTTCACCGTGATCTGTCCAATACCAATAATTTGGTTGGAATCCATATTTATACAAGTGAAATCTAACGTCACCTTCGGACAATACCGGCACACACATGCACTTGTTACAAGGACATCTAATTCCACCATCGCGTTCAACATTAAGTTGCATTTTAGCCTTTTTAATGAACTCATCAACCCCATTTACAAAGGTTAGTTTCAAACCCCCCCCCCCCCCCCCTATGAGGATAATGCCTATCATATACCCAACTACGTTCTGGAGGGTAACGATCCATATACAATCACTTACTTTATCGATGACTTGAAGCTATCTAGATAGAAGAAATAAATTAAAAAATCAGCAATCTTATCTATAACTATATTTTAAAATCCAATTTCATCCACTACAAAAATTAACTGTGCAACAATAACTTCCCACACTAAATTATATGCAGTTACCAAATAAATAGTACAAGATAAGAGCATCTAACTACATATACCTCTAAAGTTATATACATACAAAACTAATTTTTATTTTGGATTGAGTGGTAGTATATGTCTAAACTAGAAGTAAATCTATCATATCGTATATGGTATACTACCATAAGCTCTCAGAACAATATGGCAGAGATGTCATTTATCCAACTAAAAGAGAAACAATACAAAGTTAAAGAAGCTAGATTTAGTTTACACATGCACATTTTCTAAATACATATTCCAGAAAAGAAAACCAAATCATCCATATATCACATAAACAATAGCCGACACACAGAAAAATATAGAATCCAATATGAATAAACATAAAACTTCTGAAATACCCTTCAAGCAAATCAGTAACTCAAAGCTCATTAACGGATACAACATATTTTCTTTTGCATATTACCAACACCAAAACAGGTCGGTAAATTGAATGCTGTAAAAATTTCAAATTAAAATTGTCTTTAAAATCAAGTATATATATACACATAACAAAAATTTAGTTACCAGGGTGTGGTACTAGAACTCATGTCAATGTTCAGAAATAAGTTTGGACTAGAACTCATATAGCTGGAGGGGAGTTTGTACTTTGAATTATAAGTTTAGTCAGAAAAGGGTGAAAAGTGGTAATATACTTCCAAAATTTTACCCATGTGGTGGTGGACTGAATCTTTTCCAACTCTTATATTCCTTGAAAACTACTTGTACCTATTAATATATTTTTTCAGATTGTACCTATTAATATAGTTTTACAAGAACTTAAATCTCACTTATCCTATATACAACAGAGACTTCAGATGTTTGGATTGTTATTAATAAATGAAAACTAAATAAGTTAATTCCATTTATCCCATATTAGTGAATTTAAACACTTATCTTCTTAAGATATTCATTGCCATATATTGTTGGACACAGAGAAACACTCATAACAATAACTATATATATATATATATATATATATATATATATATATATATATATATATATATATATATATATATATATATATATATATATATATATATATATATATATATATATATATATATATATATATATATATATATATATATATATATATATATATATATATATATATATATATATATATATATATATATATATATATATATATATATATATATATATATATATATATATATATATATATATATATATATATATATATATATATATATATATATATATATATATATATATATATATATATATATATATATATATATATATATATATATATATATATATATATATATATATATATATATATATATATATATATATATATATATATATATATATATATATATATATATATATATATATATATATATATATATATATATATATATATATATATATATATATATATATATATATATATATATATATATATATAACAATTTAACAATATTTCACCGTTAGCTATCAAAATAGATTATATGAAATTATGAAAAATTAAACATAGGCACTTAAATGAGTAAACTGTTTACTTGAAAGCTTATTTTTCTATTTTCATAGAATGTTCAAATCATAACACAGAATAATTTTAATAAAAACATACATAATATCATCTAATTATATGACTCTTCCATACTAAAATTTAGGAAGCATAAAAGTAACATTCTAACAAAAACCTTTAAGCCAGACATTGATGTTAA